GTCCTGTCTCTGAACTTCACCTTCCTGGGGGTCACGGGGCCATCCCTGGACGGGCGAGAGGGAGGGGTAGGGGGGCGTGGGGAAGGGGTGCGCGCGTCACGGGGGTCCCGTTTCCTCGTGCGGCGCGGGGTTGGAATGCCACTGCCGCTACCCTCCCGCGTGGCCAGGCCAAGTCGGGGTTGATGTCGCTCCGCCTGTTCACCTGACACAGCCTCCCCTCGTGACTGTTTCTCACGAGGGTCCTGCCGAGTGGTCGCAGCACCAGCTCTGACTATTGCTCTGTATAATTCCAATGAAGTAGGATGCAGGTAATTTTAATTCAAATGTGGTCAATTGTTGTCAATCACGCCGGCACACAATGGCCTCCCCCTGCCAATGACGTCACGGGATCTTTGAGGTCCACCGGGAAGCGACCCCGTGGTTCTACTCCCGATCCACCCGCAGTATTAATCAGGGCGGCCTGCCGGGTACCGAATCGTGAACGTCTGCCACAAACGCGACTGCTAGGCCGCGTTAGCGCGGCGAAAATAAATCGTTTATTCAACCACGAGATGAAATATCGACAAAGACACATGTAACCCCCCCCCCCCCCGCTCATGCACCATTGCTTCATCTGCCGCGACGGGAGATCGACTCGACCTCTGGATTGTAACTCCGGAGCGCCGACCCTGACGGCTCCCTCCTAAACCCCCTTGAGAAACAGAGTAGTCCCGAGTAGTCCCGAGACCACCGGAGCGTGTCCCGGGCGACCCCTCCCCCCTCCTCCCCCCACTTCCCCACGACCCCCACCACCACCACCCCCACCCACCGATCCTCGTACCCGTTCCGCAGGGGCTGGTGCTGGGGCCCTGCCGTGGGGGGCTCCAGCTCCCCCCCTCCGCACTCGTCGAGTTTCCAGTCCATGACGTAGCCGATGATGGGCGCCGTGAGCAGGCAGAGCAACTGCAGCATCCCGAACATGGAGGCGAACCAGCCGACTGCAGGCACGGCCACCGCCAACCATCAGTGCCATCAGCGTTATCAGGCATCCTTATCGACATCATCGGCATCATCCGAATATCACGGGACGGCCTCGATCGAATTACCCTGAACGCGTCCGACCTCGCGAGATCTTGTGAAGCTAAGCAGGGCTCAGCCTGGTGCTTAGCGCTTCAGTTGGGCTGCACGGTTGGCCACGTACGGTGCGAAAGAAGTTCTACATGCATAGCCGGGGGGGGGGGGGCCCGTGGTCGGGTGACTGCTGCGCCGCGCGCGTCCATTCATAGTGTCCGGTATGCGCGTGTGTACACACACACACACCCATTCTCCGGTATGTGGTGGTAACAAATACAAAGCCACCCCGTATAGCCTTCTCAGAAGGCGCGTGCTCTTAGTGAGTAGCACCTATGCATGAATTGCCGGTACGACGCGCAAGAGGGTGGGGGTGTGGCCGATCAAAAACCCCACGCCCGACCGCCTTTGTCTCCCCCGTGCTAGTGTTTACACACCGCACCAGGGATTAATTTAAGGTTGAGTCGACCTACGCGAGGCTCCGGACCGGTTCTGAAGACATCTCTTACTGATGTTGGACGCCGTGAGTAGTAAATCAAACTCGGGGTAATAACGCCACCGCTGTTGCGCTAAACAGCATTTGCCCCAAAATTCCTGGGAGCGGTAGTGTAGCGGTGAGCACGCTGCGCTACGAACCAGGTCACCGGTCCTGGGCTTCCCCTAGGTCAGCTCAGCCTCATATGAGTACTTGGTGCGATGTGTAGACATCGCCACTGGGGAGACAAAGGCGGCTGGGCGTGGTGCTGGTCACTAGTCTGGTAAAATGCTCCGCGGGGGATGTGTGTACACACTGTCGCGTGTCGGTGTGTAATGGAGTGTGTTTATTCAGGGCCTGTTTCTGGGTGGGTTTTTTTTCTCCTCGTGGGGAGTGGTAGCCTCGGGACTAGCGCGCATTGTGCCACGATCCCCGCTCACTCCCAACATGAACTGGTGGTGGGCCTCCCATAGGTAGACTCAGCCTTAAATAGTTACGTGGTGCGGTGTTGTGACCAAGTGCACGCCGGCCGTGGTGGGTGCTGGCCTCAGTAGGTACTCGCTAACAGCAAAAGTCTCTAAAATGCAACACGGGGGATCGTTGCCTTTGTGTGCTACCCCTCTTCCTCCCTCTCCGCCTCTGTTGCCGGGTTGTTGCCTCTCCACCCCCCTCTCTGCGTCTTCATCTCTGCCTCTCTCTCGACCTCTCATCTGCATCACCACTCACCCACTCGTCCTCCACTCTGCCTCTCTTGTTGCTTTTAGCTCCTCTTTTCGCATCCTTTATGCTCGCGGTGTTCGCCCGGGGTCTTTTTGTTCGCCCTGAAAGTGTTCGTGCAACGTGAGCCTCGGGCGCGTGTGCCTGCGTGCGTGTGCGAGTGTGTGTGTGTCCGGCAAAACAACACCCTACCTCCTTGCGGTGCTGGACGGGCAACTCTGTCGTGGACAGTGCTGTTGGGGGAGGTCCAATTTTGATTGGCTCCTCCCCTCATGGCTTATGTGTCCACCACAGGGGCTAAACGGGGGCTCTGGACGAGTGCGAGGGGCTGGTAACCCCTCCACCTTCAATTAATTACCACTAAACCATAAGTTAAACTGAAATATGTAACTAATAAGCTTGTCCCGTAGGCCCCGGGGGGACAGGCGTCTATGACGTCTCCTGGCCAAACCCCAATTGGCGGAGACAGGAGATTGAATCTCTACCCTCGGGGCTCCTCCAGAAACAACGAAAAGCCACTACGGATGGCCACGTGGAATGTTCGAACACTGACTGCGGAGGAGAGGCTGCCACTCCTCTGTCGGGAGCTGGACCGGTACCGCATGGATCTCTGTGGCATTCAGGAGGTCCGGTGGACCGGTTCTGGCTCCTGCCACCATGAGGGGTGGACAGTCCTCTACTCGGGGCAGCAGACTGCCAAACAACAGGGTGTGGCTCTTCTTTTGAACAAAATAATGAAGGGGGCATGGGAGCGTGGCGGTGAGGTGTAGGAAGCTGTAAGCCCCAGGCTACTTTGGGCTCGCCTTCCCATCAACCGGAGGCGAGGAGTGGTGGTCGTGGTTACTTATGCCCCCACCGAAGACGAACATCCGTGGAGGGATGCAGGCAAAGCCGATGAGTTAGATGCCTTCTATGACCTCCTGTCACAGGTGCTGGCTAAAGTGGCACCTCGGGATAAAGTCATCATGTTGGGTGACTTCAATGCCCGAGTTGGTCATGATGCTGGCACCTGGTCTGAAGTGATTGGAGGGCATGGGCCAGATCAGCTCAATAACAACAGTAGAAGGCTGCTATATTTTTGTGCAGCCTATGGGCATCGGCGCATCCACACAACATCATGGATGCATGCCAGGTCCAAGCAAGAACATCTGCTGGACTACATAGTGACGGACCAGCGGATGCGAGCCCATGTCCTTGACACCAGGACCTACCGTGGAGCTGATCTGCCCTCTGACCATCGACTAGTCATCTGTAAGATGCGCCTGCAATTCTTCCACTCCGGTGGTGGGTGTACACCCAGGACCCCATTCCAACCTAAAGTGACCTGGTCTCAGTTATCTGATGAAAGTTGCAAGCGAGAATTTCATCATCGCTTGCGGCTGGGATTGGCATCGTCCCCGACTCCTCCTGATGTCGAGGGTAAATGGGCGAGGTTTAGGACTGTGACTCATGCAGCTGCAATGGTTGCTTTGGGTACGCGGTCCAGACCTCCCCAGAGACCCTGGCTGACAGAGGAGGTGTTCAGGATGGTTGAGAAAAAGCGACAGGCCCACTGTCATCGGCTACAGAATCCCACGTCAGAGAATGAGGAGGCTTACCCCAGCCTTCGCTCGGAGGTTCGGAGAGCCGTGAGGCGCTGCAAGGATGGGTGGTGGTCGCGGGTTGCTGAGGCGATGGAGTCTGCCTCAGTGGCCCGTGATCACAAATCTCTATTTAACTCCATCAAAAAAGTAATCTGCAGCACCACACCTATTACCATCATTAGGGGAAAAAACGGTGACCCAATCTCCGACCCCCAGGAACAGGTTTGCAGATTTGCTGAGCATTTCTGTGAGGTCCTGGGGGAGGGAAAATCCCTCATCCAGGAAAACATCATGGCACAAAGTGAGGATGACCCTGCTGAGGCTGCGGCGCCTCAAATATTGGAAGAAGTCACCCCCTGTGTGTGGCTGGCTGAGGTGCCATCTGTTGAGGAAGTACTGAAGGCGATCCGGAGTCTGAGACCAGGAAAGGCAGCGGGCAGAGATGATCTCCCAAGCGAAATGCTGAGGGAGGGTGGCGTTTGTGTACAGACTGCCCTATATGACATCATAACAAGAGTCTGGACCACTGGACGGGTTCCGCAGGATTGGAAGGATGCCCTGGTGGTCCCCCTCTTTAAGGGGGACCGCACAGACTGTAACAACTACAGGGGCATCTCACTCCTCAGTGTGCCAGCAAAGGTCCTGGCAAGGATTATTCAACATCGCCTTGCCAGGCACGCTGAGGAGAGGCTTGCGGAGCCCAAATGCGGTTTCAGGAAAGGGCGGTCCTGCACAGATGCCATATTTTCTGTCTGTCTGCTACAGCAGAGGTGTAGGGAATTCCAACAAGACCTACATCTCTGCTTTATTGACCTGGTCAAGGCCTATGATACCATCAGTAGGCCTGGGCTCTGGGTTGTTCTTCGTGCTTTTGGAGTACCTGACCCTCTGCTCACGATCATTAAGGACCTTCATGATGGTGAGCGGGCCCGGGTAAAACTACGTGGCCGGGAGTCAGAGCCATTCCCTGTACACCTTGGGGTGCGACAGGGATGTCCTCTGGCTCCCACATTATTTAACATCTATTTTGACCACGTAGTTCGTGAAGCCTTCAATAGCTGTACCGGGGGAATCTCCATATAGTACAGATATAATGGGAGGCTGATCGATGCCCGGGTGCGGTCAAGGGATGGCTCCCTATTGCTCAACCACGTTATGTATGCTGATGATTTGGTAATAGCTGCTCATTCAGAGGAGTTGGAGAAGCTGCTGCTGAGACTGCAGCGTGCCACTAAGAGGTGGGGCCTTACCATCAGCCCCACCAAAACTAAGCACCTGCCTGGGTATTTTGTACCATCGGACACTCCACCCCCACAACTCCCAATCGGTGATGGGGCAGTTGTGGAGAGAGTGGAGAGTTTCCCATACCTGGGCAGTGTGCTTATGACTGGCCCCAGTTTAACAGCAGAGGTCTCACTCCGAATCAGTCGAGCGGCAATATCTTTTCATCGGTTGCGTAACGCTGTGTGGAAGCTACCTGGTCTGTCGCTCCGCGCTAAGCTTCAGGTCTTCTCGGCCACGGTCATTCCCTCCCTTCTCTACGCTTGCGAAACGTGGACCCCCCTAACGGAACATCTTCGCCGGTTAGAAACATTTAGGCTGGCCTGCCTACGATCCATCCTGGGTTTAACCAGACTGGATTGTGTGAGGAGCTCACAAATCCTTGAAAGATCTGGGCAAGGTCCCATTGGTGAGCTTCTCCGGCGGGGAAGGCTGCGATGGCTGGGTCATGTAGCCCGCATGCCCAGCCACCGCATGCCGAAACAGCTTTTGTTTGGCCGGATTGAGGGGGCTAAGCGGGCGCGGCACGGGCTAGAGAAGAGATGGAGTGATGTGGTACAGGAGGACGTGGAGCTGAGTGGACTTGCCGATGACTGGTACCAGCGGTGTCAAGATCGGCCTCTGTGGAGGAGGCTCGTGAAGGACGCTACTGGGCAGTTGGAGGCAGTCGCCCTCCAGCAACAACGGAGGGCGGAGGAGCGACGTTCACAACAACGAGCGGAGCGCCGGGTGGCTAAAGCACAGCAGGTTGGCACAGTAGGGGGCACAGGTGGTGGATCAGCCAGTCATCTCAGTCAGTCGACTCGTGGCACCTGGGTCTGCCCCGTGACCTCCTGCCAGCGGGCGTTCGACACTTCACGTGCCTCAGGGT